TGTGGATCATTTTTTTGCGGCACGAACTAAAATTTAACTTGTCTTTCAGATGTAATTCAAGGCCTTCCTGACTTTGGAGAGATTCTATTGTTATTTCTTTCTTTATATCTTTTATATATATCTGCTACTATTGATTTTCCTATATTAAACTGATCCGCTATGTCTCTTGTAGTTCTGCCTTGTTCAATTGCACGCAATACCGCTTCTTTGACAGCTAAACTTGTATATTTTCGCTTTGTCATTTTTAAAATTTATTCAAAACAATCTTATTTTTAATTATAAATACTTTACGCTTTGTTTACCTTTTTTAAACATTAAATAAAACCCAACAAAAGTATTGCAATTTTGTTATTTTAGTTTTGCCCGGATACTTTTGCACGCGCATACTTAAATAAAATGAACTTTATTTGCTCAGATAAGATGAATTTTATTGCTTAAATTTAGTAAAAATTCATTTGTTTTTAGAATTGTCATCAATTTTTTGACATTCCAGTAAAAATTCGAAATTTTTAAAAAATTTTAAAGTAAAACAAAAAACGTTAAAATTTAAAATTTAATTTACGAAAAATTTGTCCAGTTTACAGTAAATGTCTTTGAAGCGGAGACCATTGCTCAATGAAGTATTATGCTTGTGCTTTTCTTTGTGCATCAATACTGCTCACTCTTGGGCAAAATTGGAGAGACTGGCGCGGCGTCTATTGCTCACAGTACCTCCGTGATACAAAACATGTCAAAAATCGTGTAATGTGATACCTTGTGGTAAAAACTGTAGAGAATGAGTTGAAATTATGCAAGTGGATTTAGCAAACAAAAGAAAAAGCAAGGGGTGATTGATGATGCAGCAGCAGTTAATGAAAATTGTGAGGACAATATTTTTTGTGCCAAGCTCTTTGGCAGAACCATCATCAATTAAACTAACAAGGGAGCTGAGACCAACAAAAATTCTCGAGGTTGAGTTTTACGAGATTTCATCAGATCCTGCAGACGGGCCAGATGATTTGTCTCATCTCCAAAAACAATTAGTCCTGTCAGGACCAATACAGGTAAAGTGTAATGCTTTTCCAAATATTCGCATTTCCAATTCCAAAGCAAAACGAAGATTTTGTGCTTTAAACTATAATAGATCAAACCATAACAAGATTATGGCTTGAATACTCAAAAAAAGCATATGCTGTATACTGTTTCTGCTGCAAGTTGTTTACTGTCGATTAACAAAAACTTAGTACCAGTGGTTTTTGTGATTGGAAAGAAATTTATTCCATGATATGTGAGCATGATTGTTAACAAGAACACAACAATTCCTGGATTAAATGGAAGAAGCTGGATAGTCGCTCAAAAGCAAACAGTACAATCGATCAACAGTATCTTTCAGCAAGAACAACAATACTGGCGATCAGTAATTAAGAGAACTGTTAGAATTTTTCAATATTTGGCAAAAAACAATTTGGCTTTTGGTGGCAGTGAGGAAAAGCTTTTTGCCCTTAGGAATGGAAACTTTCTTGGCTTAGTGGAGTAATTGGCAAAGTTTGATAGTGTCATGCGTCGAGTAACCAACAACCCGTTGCCAAATCATTATTTAAACAAGAGGATTCAAAATGAGCTAATCATACTTATATCAAGAAAAGTGCAAACTGAAATTATTCATTGTCTAAATGTGGCAAAATACTTTGCCCTCATATTGGATTTTATTCCAGACTTGGCCCGTAAAGAGTAAATGGCTGTAGTCGTAGGTTTTGTTGAAATTTCAGAAAATTCTGCAACAATTAAAGAATACTTTTTTGGCTTCCTGGTAGCTGGAGATTAAACAGGTGAAGGAATTACAAAATTAATTACTCCCTTTTTGACTGAAACTGACATAAATATTGATGACTGCAGAGGGAAAGGATATGCCAATGGAAGCAACATAAAAGGTCGCATCAAGAGAGTGCAAGCACGAACTCTGGAACAGAACTCTTTGGCTTTTTTCTCTCTATGTGGTGCCCATTCATTAAATCTCATTGTTTCTGATGCAGACAAATACAATGCATCCACAAAGTTGTTTTTTGGATATCTTCAACGCTTGCACGCATTTTTATCAGCATCACCACATAGATGGACAGTCATCGAACAATGTGTTGGAGTAAGACACGCTGGAATCTCGATTATAGAAAGTGTATATGTTGTTAGGAACCATTCACCTGAAATTTTGAAGGCATTAGAAGAATTAGAAAAGTCAACAAAAGATCCCTTTGTGTTTGCCGAATTATCATCATATGTCTGCACCATAATGACTGTGATATGGTATGAACTCCTGTTGCAGAATAATATTGCAAGCAAGTACTTACTGTCTAAAAAAATGGACCTTTAATTAGCTATGCAATATATCCATAATTGTAAAGTAGATCACAGTGCTCTTAAAAATAATTTTGACAGTTTGTTACTTAAAGCTCAGAAAATTGTAGCTAGCTGTGAAATTAATACTGAGCTGCCTCAACCTCGAATGAGAAAGGCTAAAAAACAATCTCTCAAAAAATTAGCTGACAGTTTACACCAATGGAAAATTTACGGAATTACTTCTTCAATAAGACAATAGAAGTAGCCATAGATAGGTTGGATGAACGATTCAATGAACTGAATCATGTGTGAAAGATTTGAATTTCTTTTAATTATTAAGATTGTTAATAAAGAAGGGTTAAGGACCAGTTGTGAAGAACTAAAAACAAAACTGGATGGAAAAGGGAGAAGTGATATTGACAGCCAAGAACCGAAATTTCAAATATTATCATCTTACTACCAGTTGATGTGACACCATCAATCGAAGTGCTTCAATATATTACCAAGAAAAATATGATCAATGGGCTAGCATTACTAAGCATTAAGCATGAGATAAGCATTAATCTAAAGTACGAGGAAATCATAAGAGAGTTTGCATTAATTAAGAAAGATTGCATTGTAAAATTGAAAGATTATGTCAACTTGTAAAAATTTTTCTTGAAATACAGTTAACTGAAGGTGCTTCGAAATGATTTTCTACCTTAAGATCGGTAAAAAAGTTGTGGTTAGGGGCTCCACAAAAAAGTACCGTGCAGACCTATTTTAGGGGCCCAAAAATAGGTCTGTAGGGCACTATATATATATATATATATATATATATATATATATATATATATATATATATATATATATATATATATATATATATATATATATATATATATATATATATATATATATATATATATATATACATACTGGTTTCTATGAAATACTTTTCTCTATTTTTTCTTTAGATGTGAATTTTGAAAAAACAACCAAACATATTCTGAGCTTTGCTGGATGAATTTAAGATATTGTTTCTGTTCTTTTAATTAAAATGACATTGTTAGTAAAGGTTTTTTATATATAGTTTTTATTTTCTATTATTAAAATTTTAATAGCATTTAATATTTTTAAAAGTTATTCAAAAGTTACCACTAAATTAGGAGGAATTTATTAAGTACATACGTATAATGTGAAAAAGTTAAAAATAAATTTTACCGTGTAAGTACTTTCATCTGCTTCCTTATAAGAAAAAATTTACTTAAAGTTTTTGAAACTTTTTTACAAACAATTAAAAGTAATAATCAAAGGATTATGTTAGTAGTATTTTGCTTTATTTTAACTTTTATAATGTTGCTTTAATTAAGAAAAGTATATACAATATACAAAAAATGTTATGATATTGTTATTTTTTTTAGGTGCCCCAAGATGTCGCAAAACCTGGCCAGAGGTAGGGTTTGAACCAAGATCCTTTATTTCTGAGGCAAGTGCGTTACCATTGCGCAACGGCTGCAATTAAAGTATTATATATATTGTTAGTGTAGTATTATATATAGTTATATATAGTTTTTATTTTCTAAACATCGCAAATTAAATGTCATGTCTAAATATCACATTGATTGGCTAGCTAAATAGACAACAATGAGTAATTGTACATCCCTCAAAGATCAGTTCTTGCATTAGTGCTATTTGTGTTCTTCGTAATTGACTAACCAGACTGAATTTATAACCATATCAAACTAGGCGTCAAAGATGGCAATATCATATAAGTTAATGATGTCAATTAATTTTCCTTTGATTATAAAAAATTGCAAGCGGACACCGACCGCGGTTGTAAGTTGGTCGCACCGTGCAATATCGTTAGTCGCAATGCGCAATACCGTTAATTAAACATTTTGCAATAAGAAACTTAAAAATACTCGCTTAAACTTCACTTGAAGAATGCAGTGATCTCTTAGTGCAATGCAAAACTGCTTATCATTTACAAATGAAATTGGGACTTTGAAAACTCTTTTTTTAAGACTCCCATTCATCTGGTTGAAAGATCAAAATCCGGTCAAAACTAAAGCTTGTGAAATAAAAGATAACTTTATAGAAGGTATTCTTCTTCACTTCTGAAAAACTTTGGGCTTTCTCAAGCAAATATACTCAGGTTCAATAGCCTATTTCCCAATTTATATGCATTCTAATTCGAATTTTTGAACGGAATGCCAGTACCTGTTACAGAAATTGTGCAGCCTTTATAAAAAATAAAATTAATTTAAAAAAATGATTGTACGGCCACTATAGAATTAAAGCGTGTATCGGACATACACTTTGAAAATGAATTTCATAAAACTTTGTTGTAAGATGAAATAATAAAAAAATAACGATTTTTGCGAGTAAATAAGCAAGAAAAGAGTGTTTTCAATATTAACTTTTAAAGTATCTGTTTGAAATTAAGTGTTATTAATCCAGATGCAGTTTTTAAAATATGGATGTAAATTAACAGTATTAGAAATGAAAAAACTCTTGTATAATTGTACACGTTTTTTATTTAAAAATATGCATTTTTATAGGAGCGCCTAATTGTTGCTATGCCCCGGACGTCATGAAAGCCCTAAAAAAGGGTTGAGTATAACTTTATTTTGATTTTAAACCAATAATTTTAATTACATTTAAATATAGCGTAACTTAAAAGTCTTAAAACTGTTGCTAATTTATATATTTTAAATAAATAAAAGTGCATCAAAAAACTACATTTTCGCCTTATTACTTTATTTGTAAATTATTAAATATCATTTACATAAGCAAATTACAGCTAATATCACACATTTAAATATAAAATCTATATATTTTACACCTAAAACTAAAAATTATTTTTTAAGTGTAAACACAAAAAGTTGTTAACTAATGTAGCATAAAATTATTATCCGGATGCAAACGTTACAAGCACTTGTTGGCTAATTTAAGCAAAAATTGTTATTAATTTAACATAAAGTAACAAACTTAATGCGTAACCATGAAACTCTTTTTGCCACGTATTCTGAAAATCTTTCCCAACAGGTCTTCTTCGGACGACGCTTTATTTCTTCTCTGAACTCGGCAATTTGTTCCAGAGACACACCTAGATCATTCACGTTTACATATTTAAAGTTTACTCCATATAACTTTGAAAATCTATTTCTTAATTTCAATCTCTGTTCGGCATGCTTATAAAGAAGTTGATCAGTTTTTATCTGTAATCTTTCAATCATAGTTTGAAATTCAGTTAAATATTCTTGAGAAAGATTTTTCATATCTTGAAAGAACGCGAGTTTTTTATCTAAAGATAAATAAAAAGAGTTATGGGTAATATCAAAAGAGTTTGTTTAAAGTTGTCTAAATAAATTTTTTTTTGCCATTGATTGAGCTGTGAGCCAAAGTAAAACAAGATTCACCGTCAAAAATGCACAACTGTCCTTGCAAATTTCAATACAGGCGATCTTTACAATACAGGCATTTTTTTTTGAAACATCTTTACTTCCAAAAAAGCTGCAAGCAACAACTATAGAGTTGGAAGTTACTGGAAGAAAAAGATGAAGTTTGTAAAGAAAGATAACGATTAACAGACGACTTAAAAGATTGCAAATTATATACATCAGGAAAACAAGGGGGAGCAAACAACAAAGAACTGATGTTTAAGAAAAAAACAAGACAGTAAAGAATTTTTGAAGCACTTATAAACAGTCACAGTAAAAGGATGTCGCAGTAATAAGACTTAATTGAAAGACAAGTAACACAAGAATTAAATTTAGTAGATGGCACGAATGATGCTAGCTCTTTAGACCAGCACACATAGTATTTATAGAAAAGAGAAAGAGAAGCAACATTACGACAACGTGACAGTAGTTGAAGATTAGCATTAAGAGCAGCTTTAACTATAATCACAATGCGATTTTGCATCTTGTTTAAAAAAGAAAAGGCATCTTTCAAAAATCCGCCCCAGACATGGCAACAGAGCTCTATATAAAGACAGATTAAAGATTTATAGAGATAAAAAATAAAATCCGGAGTAAGAAAGTGGCGTGTAACCTCATTATGCTAACTTTGAAATGGATTTCAAATATGGTTTCCAAGAAAAATCAAAGATTTAATCCTAGAAGACGAAGGGTATATGACTCATCGAGTACATTACCGTTCATAAACACAGAAAAAATCTAGGTTATTGCAATATCAATTACCTGAAAATAATTAAATTTTATCTGAGTTAAAGTTCACTGAGCTACTGAGAGCCCCATATTGTAGCAAGAAGTGAAATCTTTTACAAGCTCAAATGCCCCCGCCAAGCAATTAATTAGTGTTGGCTTTTTATCAAGTCAAAATTAAATGGTATTATCATCACCAAACAATGCCACTTTAGATGTGAGAATTTCTTGGTGATCGTTAATATAAATTAGAAAAAGTTTAGGGCCAAGGATTGAACCTGAAGAAGAATGCTGTCTAATTCAGTACAACTTTTATACTACGATTGGTAAGGAAGAATTTAATAATCTCAAAGATGTTACATGATAAACCCTAAGAGAAGAGCTTTCAGAGAAGACGAGCATGCCAAACCTTATCAAAGGTTTAAGGAATGTCGAGAGCAAATAGCCCTAACTTCTGCAAATCTGTCTAATGCATGAAAAAATTTATCAGTTATTACCATTAATTAATCAGCAGTAAAACAAGAAAGTCCATATGAGTAATTAGAAAGTAAATCATTAGATTCAAGATAAGACATTAAGTGTTTGTTAATTAAAGACTCAAACCTTGCTTATGATAGTAAGAAAACTAATGGGAAAGTAGTTAGACGAGTCAGATCTCTCTAGAATTTTTGAAAAAAGGAATAACAGATGTCGCTGTCCAGCAGGCTGTAAAAGAAGACACTGGCGAGCACTTGTTAAATAGTTTTTAAAATACAGGCGACAACACCGGAGAACACTTCTGCATGACTATAAAAGGTATGTTGTCTGAACCATAACCTGTAGAAAAGTCTAAACAAGAAATTACTTAGGCTGAAGTGATACGATTACTACCCAAATGCCATTATGAAGAAAATCATGGAAAGAGCCCAGTCAGCTTAAAGGTGGTTGTAAGAGGTACGATGATAAGGTGATTCTGATATATATGAGATAGTTTTACAAAGATCGAACCATGATCAGAAGCACCTAAAGGTGAATGTGGAGAAACTGACTAGGATCAGAAACAAGACACAAGTCGAGTAGAGAAGAAACATGATTCGGATTGTCTGGAAAAAGAGTTGGAAAATTGACTATTTGCATTAGAGATTGAGAAAAGGCAAAAATTGTGGGCCTAAACGCCTGCAACGTCACTGACACTAAGTGCCATTTAGTGTGATAAGCATTCAAGTCAACAACAACAACAGTGAAAATGGTTGAGGGATAAATAAAGAGCTTGGTCAATTTGATCAGAAATAACATTAAAAAGAGTGCAGTCTTGAGATAAAGGAGAGCATTATAAGATAAAGAGAAAGATAACAGAGTAAAATGGTGCAAAACAAAAGCACATAAAAGAATAGCCAGTAGATTTAAATCTAGTTCTCTGACAAATAGGTGAACTGTTACCAATGTAAATGTCCAGGCCAAGCATGTGGCTATTGGAGTCTTTACGAATTAAAGGAAGAAAACTAACAACACTAAGATCATAAAAAGAGACAGCTGAACTTAAATCTCACAAAAATCAAGTAGGCCAAGTAAACTTTGCAAGAGATAATACTCAACAGAGAAAAAGTTACTTCAATGACCACAAATATTACTGAATGAAAAATTTTGGAAAAAATCTAAAGTAGCCTTATTTAAAACTAGAAATGCGTCATTAAAATAAGTAAACTTTTCAGCGGTTTATTATATTTTTCTGAATTCATTTAAAGTTTTCAAGCTAAAAAGACAAATGCTTTTTTTTAACTTAGATAATTATGAGATAGTATAAGTTGCCAAGCCATAAAAGTAGAGATACAAGCTAACCCCATGCATTAAGTTAGGATGATCCAGCATTCAACTTCCTAAACTGGAAACAATAATTTTTTAATACATCTCCAGCCTAATAACTAAAGAAGGGGTGCAAAGCTGGTCAAAATATAGAATCTGTTGACAAATTATGACATTATGTATATTTTATGAATTTGTTTACCCCTTAGTTTTGACTCAGAGGCCTTCTACAAGACAATAGCCAGATGTATTTAACGCCTGCTTAAGACGATTATTTTTATTAAGATAAATTAACAGATGATTATTTTTATTGAGATAATTTAACTAATGAACAGGTTAATCATCTTGACAAACTTAAATTTTAATAATATGATTTGTACGACTATATTGAAAAAACATTTTCTGAAAAAAAATTTCTATAACAATATTTTTTTAAAATTTCAAAATTTCTATAACAATATTTAAAATTTTTAATTTAAGAATTTTTGATAAATTTATATATATTGGAAATTTTTAACTAAATTTTTTGTTCCTAACCACCTTTGGTCTAGGAAAGCCAACCGCTACTTTACACAATTAAAATTACAATTCACTGAAAAACTATATCAATTAACTCTATTGATGATCTTTTACCATTTATTCCTTTTTTTTAATCTTAAATTTACCACAGATATTTTTTTCACTTTTACAAATTATAATAACACAAGAATCATAGCTTTTATCATAATTTTAAAAAGAATAATCATAACTTTTTAAGTACCTATATCAGTTGCAACATGAACTTTTTTAGTTCGCTTAATTCTAAAAACTTCATATATGCCACCAGCTATTAAAAATATTACTAGAGTAATTGCCACACCATATAACATTGTTTTAAAGATTGGCGACTGAATACTGAAAAGTTGAACTTTCTTATCAGCCAAAGTCAAATGACTTGCGTTATTTTGTTTGATAGCATCCTAAAAAAACTTTTTTTGAATTAAAAAAGTACAAATCTACTGCATTAAGTAATATGAATATAATCCACTGCTAGATTGAAACAAATGATATGCAATACTAAATTATTTGATACAAATATTTGTATGTTAGACTATTATTATGTTTATAATGAGTTAAGTTTTAAAATGCTATTTAGTTTTATATAATACATATATCAAAAAAATAAGTGATTATATCAATGAAAAATGCAATTATAGATTTTCTTAACATTTTTTCTGCTTTTGTTTTTAAATTATTCATTTCAGTATTTACCACTTGAGTAATACAATGAATTTATTTAACAAACTTCATTAAAAGAAAAAATCAATTCAATTGTCAGGACTTCATTAAAAGAAAAAATCAATTCAATTGTCATGCGGTAGTGGTGTAGTGGTAGAGCGCTCGCTTCATAAACGAGTGGTTCGGAGTTCGATCCCCACCACGTCCCTGGTAGTACCGCGCTCAACTCGTTTCTCCGCGCAGCGGCCTTGTTTGTCAAGGTTCGTGTTTCGGAGTTATAGAGTTGAGAGAGGGTTATAGCCACAAAATAAGTAGCCTCCTCGTCTGTAGTGGCCTTCTCGGCCTTGAGGAGGTGAAGTAAAATAAAAAAAAAAAAAAAAAAAAAAAATTTTAAAATTACTATAATTTATGCAGTAGCAGATTAGTGGTTGAACACTTGTCTCATAAATGACAGTTTTGACATACAAAATCACCCTAAGCCTTTAGAATCGCAGATAACTTGTATAACAAGGGGTTTGGTTTGGAGTTAAGAGTGATTTTCAAAAAAAAAAAAAGTTCATTTAAGTACCGTTGCACACTTGCTTCTGTTTTTAAATTATTCATTTCAGTATTTACCACTTGAGTAATACAATGAATTTATTTAACAAACTTCATTAAAAGAAAAAATCAATTCAATTGTCAGGACTGAATTACTTAATTATGTCATTTTGAAGAATATTACTGAGATATTGACAATGATGATAATTACTTGACAGTTAATATGTATGTATTGCAACATGTTTGCATTTAATAAAGAATAATTTTTTTTCAATTAAACATTTTAAGAAATATAATAAAAAAGTAGCAACAATTTTAACAAGCTAAAAATCTTGTCTACTTTAAATCTACACAAAAATATTAGTAACTGTAGAAGTTATATTGTTTACTCAAAAATTGAAACAAAATTTTGATAAAAATGTTGGTTAAATAATAATAAAGTTAATTAGACATTACATGTCTAATTAACTTTATTAATTTAAACTGAAAAATGATACATACGCAAGAAAAACTAAAACTGTTTATTGAATGTAAAAAAGAATTATAAAAGCCCCTAGTTAGAAAAAAGTACTACAGTAAGTTATTGGTAAGTGGAATACCAAATAACTTGAACTTTTGTTATCTCAAACTTTTTCATTTGGTCCGCTGCAATCGTATAGCAGATTACTATTGAAATTCTTTGGTTAAGTTGAGACTAGGGTAACTCAAACTTTGATAAGTCAAACTATTTTTTCACCCTATTACAGTAGAGTGTGTTGATAATTCAGTTAATAGACTTTTTCAAATTAAGAAAAAATTTCAAATTAAAAAAAAAAGAGAAAAAATACAACTTGATTTATAAAAAAACTTTGAAAAATGATTTTATTTCAGTGCTTTTGGTTAATAATATACCTGATAATAACCATTTTTTTCTTTTAAAAAGTAATTAATATTTCATAGTCGAACCAAAAGAAAGGTCCCGGTAAACATTTTGTTTATTAAAAATGTCAAAAAGAGCGAGAAATGCATTATCAGTTAAAATGAGCAAACTTGTAGGGAATGGAAATGAACTTTAAACATTTAAGCTACCAAAAGCTAGAAATATGCTAAGATAGGGTATATTTTTAAGAGAAAATAATGAGAAAAGTATAAGAAACTATTAGATCAGCTAGTAACCGCTTTACTTGATCAATGGATAAAAACAAATGCCTTTTTTACATATCCTAATGTGATTCATGAAAAACAAATTACAAAAAACTTGAATGTTTATGGAATTTAGCTGTTGACGCTAGTATTGGAAGTGGAAAAAAAGCTGAAAAAGAAAGATTTGATTTAAAATTAGACAAGCTTGTAGAAATCTTACTTTGCAAATGTAAACAAATCCGTTGTTCAAAATACAAATGTGATTCAGAATCTATAGAAAAAGTTTATGTAAAGTGTAAATGTAAGAGAGATGAGAAAATACTGATTTTAGGGCTTCAATTTATCCACTCTCAGAGGACTAAAACTGGCAGCTTTGGAACTTTTCATATTGGTGGTGTAGATAGGAGAGAATCCAAAAAATTAAAATAAAACAACAAAGAAAAGTTGCAAAAAAAAAAAAAGAAACATAAATATTTAAGAAGGCTCATACGACTTTATTATATATTTAAACTATATATATATATATATATATATATATATATATATATATATATATATATATATATATATATATATATATATATATATATATAATATATATATATATATGTATATATATATATATATATATATATATATATATATATATATGTATATATATATATATATATATATATATATATATATATATATATATATATATATATGTATATATATATATATATATATATATACATATGTATATATATATATATATATATATATATATATATATATATATATATGTATATATATATATATATATATATATATATATATATATATATATATATATATATATATTAGGGGCCTGTGAATAAATTCCATTCGATTCGTAAATCATGTAGTGCTTTGGCTCAAGATTTGATTAAAAAAAATGATTTGAGTTTTTCAAATCACTATTTCTTTTGTTAGTGTTATTGTTTCATCAGATACGTAACGCTAAAATCTTATTAAAATGTTTTTATTTATCTTCGCCAGAGTAAAGTAATTGTAGTCGAAAGTAATTGTAATACTGTTTCGAAAAAACTGCTGAAAAATTAATCTGCGCAAAAAAAGTTTTTTAAATTAGGTTTTTTTTGAGAAAAAAACCCTAATATATATATACATATATATATATATGCACATATATATATATATATATATATATATATATATATATATATATACATATATATATATATATACATATATATATATATATATATACATATATATATATATATATATATATATATATATATATATATATATATATATATATATATATATATATATATATATATATGTATATATATATATATATATATATATATATATATATATATATATATATAT